AGCTACGATGTTGGGCCCTCAGAGCCACCGATATAGGGCCTTAAGAGGCACTAGTGTGGGACCCTCAGATATGGCAATGTGGGGCCCTCGGACTGGAGGCGCCGGTGTGGGGGCTTCACAGTCGCCGGTGACGGCCCTCACAGGCGCCGTTGTGGGGGCTCTCAGAGACACTGGTTTAGGGCCATCACAGGCGCGCGTGGGGCCCTCAGAACTGCTGTTACGGAACGGACCCTTCATAGGCCGACAAGAAGATATCAAGAGGTCACCGGTGCCTTCAGGAGCCTTGTGTGGTTCTCAGAGACTGGCATGGTGCGCTCAGACGCCGCTGGGATCCTCCGAGTCACCTGTGTGGGGCCGTCAGGGTCGCTTGTAACTAACAAGGGCCCTCAGAACCGCCCATGTAGGGTTTTTAAAGACATTGGTGTAGGGCCTCAGAGTTAGGGGTGTGGGGCCCTCAGAGACGCCGGTGTGGCGCTCAGGGGTGCCGGTGAGGGCCCTCACAGTCGCCGTTATAGGGGCCCTCAGAGAAATGGGTGTGGGGCCATTACAGGCGGGTGTGCAGCTCCTAGAGCTGGCCCCCTATAGGCCGGTTAAGACCCCCAGAGGCCGGCAAGTGGCCCTCAGAGGCTGGCTTGGGCCCTTATGGAGATCTTAATGTTGGTACTTGTGGGCCCATGAGGTGTTCTTACGAGCCCTGTGGGGCCCTTCTGAGTCCAAATATAGCCTACCTGGATCCTCAGCGGCCAATTGGCGCCGTAGTGCCCCTCAGGCCCGAATAACCCGATGGGCCCCTGAACCTAATGGGGGGGGGGGGGGGCATGTGCCTCACGGGCCCACCTGGCTACGCCACTGAGGAAAATCGTAAACCCATAAATATCGAAATGCGATCACCTGTCATTTTTTTTTTCAACGATTATTGTGATCGTCTGATTAACGCCAGAGCCTCGTAGCTATACCGTTGCCTCCCGCGCAATGTCCGCCCCTGTGGACCGCAGGGGCTGCTGCACCGGTGCTAATCGCGGTCACCGGTTTGTCACCTTATTACAGAGGTGCCGGGGCTGCTGCCGAGCTGCCGGCAAATGTACGCGTTTTTTTCGCAAAGATGTTTATGTAATGAGGTAGCCAAGTACTAGGACGAGCAGAATGATTTTGAAGAACGTTCAACCTTTGGGAAATATTAGTGGAAATCCCGGGATTATCAGTACCTTATGGGGATACCCAACCATGCCTTGTACGGTTGTGCCCATGGCAAAGCTGCAATCTTTCACCCGGTGCAGGGGTTGAGCACCCCCAACCATTTTGAGAAATCGACACCCCTGAGTATAAGTAGTGGTATAAGTGGTGTAGAGGATAGTGGTATGGAGGAGTGGTATAAGTAAAGTAATCTTGAGTGGTAGGCTGTGCCGCATCACACGGGCTGAGTTCACAAATTATAGCTTTGTCCCAATGCTCACAATCGACACGCTTAATTGCGTGATAAACGGCACAACTTAGCGCTCCGGTCAACTGATAGCTTCTCAGGAGTGGAACATCATTCTGTGATCGACTATACGTACCCAAATGACCAAGTAATTCATATAAATAAGCATGAACGTTTTCAAAGTAGGTAGGTATGGGTGTAGGAATGTGATCGTGTAATGTGCGATAGGTAATTATTTTTTCATCAATGATCATACAAATACCAGACGATCTAAAACGTTCTTCATTTCGGGATGTCAATTTATCTGTAAAAAACGATGCCTAAAACATATGTGTTACGACATTTGTGTTTAATTTAATTTAATCTTTAACATAATGTGTTGTGTTACATTGTGTGTTATGTTATGTTGTGTTACCTACGTGTTAATTATGTGTTAATTCGCGCTAACTGCAGAAGATCTACAAGCGATTTTGCTCGAGCGTCGGGAATTATTTAACCGCACCTTGCAATGTCAAATATTCCAATGGCGCTTTGCCTCGGTCCAAGGCCTTCAAACAAGTCCGATCTCGTGTTCCGCTTACGAAACATGAACGATTTTCAGGATAAGGGTTGAGCTAAAATTCGCTTAGTTTATTGTTTTTGTAAGATGACGTCTGCTGCTGGCGACGCACAGCCTGAAAATGCAGCATCAAGCATAGAAGAGGACGAATTAGCGACAAAGAAAAACGAATCAAAAGAAAAGTCGGTGCAGGTGGTAGCCAGCAAGCTAAGTCACCCCAGCATCTTCGATCCTGAAACTGAAGATAGCAACAGAGATGTCTGGCGTTTGGGCTTCCTTTTTACTATCGCGACGCTTGCGGCAAGTTTTTGGCTGAAAGCGTTATTCCGTTTACCCCAGCTAGCTCTGAGACATTCAGGTGGCGCTTTCTTGCTTGCGTTCATATGTACGATATTTTTTCTTTGTATTCCCCTGGCATGTTTAGAAACATTTACGGGTCAGTATGGAGGAAAGTCTTTATTGTTGACCATGGGAGAAGTTATTCCTATCACAAGAGGCGTTGGATTCGCTATCGTAATAGATCACTTTCTTGAAGTTATATTGTATGGTGTCAACCTTTCTCAACTGTTCATGTACTGTTTCTTTGCGCTTAAGTCGCCGATGCCGTGGGAAAGATGTGACGCAAAATACAACACCCCTCTCTGCACTACTGATCAGCTTGAAGAGAAATGCATAAAAGACAAGGCGAAATCAGGATATCTCCGTCATACCTGTGTGCCAGGTCAGCAAGTCTGCTCGGCCATGCATCTCGGAGCGGCGAATGCGACACACTGTAGTTTATCAGCTAACAAGACAACCGTTTATTTGCCGCTGCTGGACAGACCAACAGCGCAAGAAGAATATTACGAGACCGAAATACGAAACCATGGAAATCAGACGCTGAAAACTCTGAAGGGCATTGGCGAACCAAATCTTACCATTCTTGCTGCATTGGGAGCTGTGTGGCTGATAATTTTGGTAACTGCAATGGGCGGTATAACACCTCAGCCATTTATCGCCTTAATCGCAGTTATCCTTCCTATGCTGGGATATATTGTTTTAATGTTCTACGCACTAACATTAGAAGGAGCCGGTGACGGGATCTCCCACCTACTTCGGATGAACATCTCGGATCTGACGAACGGCCGATGCTGGGCAGACGCTGCTGGCCTTGCGTTTGCTTGCATGAGCGTCGGCTACGGCACTTATCCTTCTCTGGCAGCGAGGAACCGTCCAGCCCGACGATCTTATTTCGACGTCCTCGTGGTCGGCGTCCTGTGCATAGTGATAGTGCTTGTGACAACACTCAGCTTCTACGGACTGGTGGGTTCTCAGGCGAAATCCGGTGCACTAACCATCGACGCACAACTACTGCACGGCAGTGACATGGCCCGGGTGCTGTTCCCCACCGCCCTGGGACGCTCCAGCATGGCGAAAATTTGGACTCTGGTGTTCTTCTTCACCATAGCTGTACTCGGAGCCGGTTCAATGGCCGTGCACATGGCATGTGTCATCAGCGACCTGGCATCTACGTGCCAGTTCAAGTGTCATACGGCGGTGGCGTGCTGCCTGGTGATGCTGTTCGCCCTCGGCATCAGCGCCTTCTTCTCACTCGCCGGCACCATCTTCGTCCTGGACACCATCGAGGACTCCATGCTCGGCTCCAAGAAGTTCCTGCTCAGCCTGCTCTTCCTAATAGTCGTCATCTTCTTGTACGGACCGAGGAACCTGATCCACCACGTGAGGAAGCGTCTGCGGGTGCGCCTGGTGCCGCCGCCCTTCTTCTGGCAGCTGAGCTGGTACATCATCTGCCCCCTGGGACTCGTGGGACTGATGGCGCTGGCCTTTCTCGGTCGGGGCGGCACCTTCTTCCGCGACGACGTGCCGCTGTGGATCAAGCTTGCCGCCGTCGGCTACGAGTTCTACTACTGGGTCATCATCGTGTTCTTCTTGGTGCAGACAGCCGTGGCGTGGAAGCGACCGACGCGTCCGCGCGGCGTGTGGCGCCTGGAGACGAGTCCCGATGACGTCGAGAATGACGAGGGTGGCGGCGGCGGCGGAGGGGGCTCCGACGAGTCGGTACTGATCACTGCGTCAGAGCCGAGGAGCAAGCCGACGGAGGCCGCGTCTAAGACTGGCGCTATCGAAAGCTCGCCGACGCTGACGGGAGGGGGTGAGAGCGTCCCGGCGGTTCCAGCCGACAGCGAGGCTCCGCAGGCAGGTGACAAAGACGGGGAGGCCACCGAGGAGCCCGAGGAAGACCTGACGCTGCCCGGGGAGAAGCGGCGCGCAGAGGCGGCTCGCGGCGCCGTGGAGCGGATCAGAGGGCTGGAGCTGGAGCCGGGCCCGGACGAGGCCGACCTGTTTGTGCGTCTGCACGCGTGGTCGCGCGGTCCGCCCAAGCCGCCCACCCCGTCTCCGACCCCGACCCCTCCGTCACCAGAGTCGGAGCCGCCGCCGGAGTCCGAGCCGCCACCGGAGTCCGTGTCGCCACCGACATCAGCGCCGTCGTCGCCACCGCCGCCGTCACCGTCGCCCACTCCCTCGCCGGAGCCGCCGCCGCGACTGCCCAGCATCGACAGCATACAGACCGAGTACGCCAACTTCCTGGGCCGACAGAGCCCCAACATGCGCGCGCGCGGCCTGCCCATACCGGCACAGGAGCGGATCGAGAGGGAGGGCGTCAGCCGGCTGCCCTGGAGGGACGAGCAGCTGAGCCGCCAGTTCGGGCCCAACGTGCTGGGCATGATGAGTCCGTTCACGAAGCACGGCCTGTTCGGACGGGGACGGGTGTCTCCTGACCTGCCCCTGAGGAGGAGCCCCGAGTGGACGGAGCCGCCGCGACGGGCCGCCAGCGTGGCAGCGGCCATACCGGAGGGACAGGAGGCGGAGGAGCCGCCCAAAGACGTCAGCGAGGACACGCCCTCGCTCATGAACATGCTACGAAATATGAAGTCGTGAGTAAACCGGGTAAATTGTCAGTGGTAGTCACTCGCGATCGTGTTGGTTGTAGTTTGCTCAGCGTGGTGATACAATACATAATTGCAGGAGGCAGATGTTTATTGGCGATACAGCTGTTTGGTGTGCAACAAACGCGGAGGCACTCACGGCCGATAGACGCGGAAGGAATAAATGTTAACGATTACAGGGGCTAAAAGGTGCGACACTGTAGCGCTGCATGCATGGTCGAGGCACATCAACACGTCCTGAAAAACGTCCTTCTTTACGACGATGTTAAGCGGTTATAAGGCCCCTAAACGGTTCGTAGTCGACACATCTACTTACTAAATCGTGACTAAAAACCACTACTTCGTGGTTTTTCGTCGGTCGCGGTCGTTACACAGCATTTATTGGGTGAACGCCTAAAAGCAGGAGCAAATAAACATTCCCTTGATAGTTGATAATGATTAAAACTAATAGTTTGCGTGCTGATCTTTTTGCTGCTGCCAGCGATTAGCACGCTGGACTGCTAAACGAGAAACAGGGCGGCTGGAGGAGCGACTATCTAGCTGAGCCGGTTACCACACCGCGGTACGTTTGAGACGTTCGACACGACATCGGACATTCGTCGGACCAGTCTGACTCATTTGGTCCACGATAGCTCACACCGAGGTCCTCCCTTGACAAGCTCCTTCCCAACACTCACCACCTGTGCGATTCCTGACCCCTCGCCAGCTGCAGCTCATCCCCGCCGCCTTCTCTCACCCTGTTCAGGGGCTCATCAGGGCGCTGTTCTTGCGGAACAGTGCTGAGCGGCGCAGCGACTCCGAGATAGCCTCCACAGAGTCAAAGAGCGCCATGTGCGGGTTGGCCAGTAGTTTGGCCGACCTCTGGCGCGTGGAGCGGCGCACCGGCGTGATAACGGAGAGGATGTCGCCGCTCGGAGCCTCTCCGGCAGCGCCCAGACGCAGCGCCGCCAGTCTGCAGGAGGAAGAGCAATTCCAATTAAAATTTCATTCATCATGCCGGGGTTGCATTGGAAACGCAACAAAGCACATGATAACCAATAATCACGCGAAGCCATGGCAAAGAAATACGAATATTGCAACTACGCATTCATGAGACGATGGATCGACGTCACGGAATATTATGTCGTAGACTATATATTCCGTGATCGATATTATCAATGGACGTAATAATTGATAGACAGTCAATAAAAATAAACATTGCACATTTCGCTGTTTATTTCGCTGTTGAGGCTTTAGCTGAGGATCCACCTACTTCCTTTGTGCTAAATAGGACTTCACGACTTCGAGAAAGAATATCATCATCCCTCAACAGTCCACAATCACGCCCTCATCCCACCAATCACCACTCGCCTTCCATCCCCAACTCATACTCACTTCTTCAGCACCGTCTCATCGTCCACGAGCGCGTACTTGATCACGCTCGAGTCGAATACATTGCTTCTGTCGAGCAGTGGGCGTCGCGGGGTGCGGGTCTCGGCGCGACGCCGGCGCCCTGGGCCCGGCGTGCCGTCCGCGTCCACCGGCGGAGGAGCGTTCTCGGTGTCCTCGGATGCCTCCTGGGGGGTGCCCGGGGCGGCCGTAGCGCTGGCGGCGCGCTTCACGAAGTTCTCCAGCCCGGAGATCAGCTCGGCCACCGGCTGGGGAGGGCAGAAGGCAGGGTGAGGGTGTCAGTGGCGGGTACGGACAGTAGAAGTAGAAGAAAAAGTAAGAAGTACAAGAAATTAGGCAAGAGTAAGAAAGTAAGGGGGTAGAAACAAAGAAGAACAGTAGAAGAGCGATAACAACATAGCGGAAAAACGATGCATTATTTATTCGGAATCACGTTAAGATACGCAAACGATACCATTAATATCACCGACAAAGTTGTTGGTTTATTGAAGCTTTAGGGCGCTTCGACTATGACTGGGTCATTTTGCGCCGACAGAGCACCGACGGAGCAAATACGCTGAAAACACGTTACAAATGAATTTGATTATACACTGTCGTTGTCGTAATTGTAAATCACAGGTTTCGTTACAATATGACGACACACAAAAAAAAAATGTTACAGAAATTGGCAATGTACGAGCGTATGCTGCAGCTGCTGCTACTCGTATGCTGATCGAGCGATATAAGCATATATCCAGCAAAACGCAACGTTTCTGATGTACCATTTAAACTAAGGATCATGGCTAAATGTATCCATCTGACGACCGGCCTATTAGTGACATCCGCTCTAAATTAGTAGCTGCTGCGCTACAAAGGCCAATAATAAGGCCTGATTTAAAGAGGAAGCCGTCAGATATTTTCGTCATAATCCGTTCAACCAGGATTCATTGTATATGCCGTGAGCGTCCAGTGTCGGCACTAATTAACCCCTCTGCTAATTATATCCGATTCATTGCGTGCTATTTTCGCAGCTGCTTTATTAGGGCATCCTCAGGGCCACAGCATTAAGCTGGATCTCAAACATAATTGGGCACGCTGGGATCAGTTTGCAGGGGCGGCATTGTCGGTTATAACAGCTCAGCCCGCAGTACAGACGGACCTTGTAACTGACAGCTTCACGTCAGCGAAAAGGACGTGATGTTGCCGCAAATCCTGGCTCGGTGGATGTCAAAGTGGACAGCTCCCTACATCATACTGACGGGCAGCATAAAAATACAAAAACAGGTGGCCCATCACGTAACATGAATTGCATAGTCGAAGCAGAGGCTTGTATGCCACTTCAGCGGGCTGCTTTGCTGATCCTGACCAACATAATATAACGGTTACATAAAAATGCTTAGTTTTTGCCAGCGTCATGGCAGAATGGCAAAAGGAAGATCGACGAAGGGTAGGTGACTATGATTTTAAGAATGTATGGGACATTTTGTGAAATAAAATAAAAGACAAATATGAAAAAATGCGTTTTCTATGAACTTTTTTTCTTCTAAAATTCATCAAACGACTTCGATAAAAATCACACTTGAAATCAGCTCACTATAAGGTTTCGAATGATTTGTTTTATTCCTTGAATCAAATGACCTTCCAACGAGCCGTGTGTACTGCACCGTGCATTGTCCGCCCCGGGGCGGCAGAGCTCACCTCAGCCTGGGCGTGTGACGCCTGCCGGAAGCAGTGCAGCACAGTGTCCAGCTGGCCGTCCCGCTCAGCGGCCGAGGCGCGGCACAGCCAGTAGCGGGCGCGGCCGGCCGACACCGGGTCCCGTGAGAGCCGCTCCAGCCAGCTGACCACCTGGTCCGAGGGCAGACCCAGCTCCTGTGGAGGGGAGGGGAAGTTACAGACGCTCCAGTCAGCTGACCACCTGGTCCGAGAGCAGGCCCAGCTCCTGTGGAGGGGGGAGGGGGGAGTTACAGAACCTCCAGCAGTCAGTTGACCACCTGGTCCGAGGGCAGACCTAATTCCTGTGGAGGGGAGGGGGGAGTTACAGGCGTTCCAGCCACTGCTCACCACCTGGTCCGAGGGCAGACCCAGCTCCCGTGGAGGACAGGGTGATTTCGGGTAGACGGGGTTGCGAAGGCAACTGAAATAAGACTTCTTTCCCATCACTTATCAGACACAGGGCGAGAAAACAAACCAGTTAAGGCATGAAAAGAAGCAAAACTCATTGTCTATTTAAAACAAAAAGCATCCTTAACGCATAATCCAGATAAAATGACCGTCTTAAGACGCCAGACGAAATCCGCCAAATTTTCACTGATCGTTACAAACAATGACGAACCTGCAGCTCCCTCAAGTCGGAGAGCACGTTGTCCATGCGTTCCTCGCCACCGGATGCGGCATCGGGCGTCTGTGGCGCCCCCTTCTTCGCGGCCGCCGGTGTCACCTTAGCAGTCGTCACAGGCGTGGTTGGCGACACTTTCACAGTAGGGGTGGCCTGGAAAAACGGACCTTTTCGTCAACCAAAGCCGTTGGGAAACGACATATCTTTATGGAGTGAGAGCAAGCAAAGCACACTAGTTTTCAGTCATCTACTGACTTAAACAACAACAACAAAATCATGCATTGGATATAAAGTGAAAAAGAGCATGTAGTCTAGGTGGTGGACTATATGTATTCAAGGGTCAGGTCAGTGAGTCCGTGTGCTGAACTTAAAGCTAAATCACAATTAACTACTATCGATAAATTTGTGCAAAGATTATCACTTATCGAAGAAACATGCAATCTTCAGGTGCCCTCGATCGGGTCCATCACTAACCCTGAGCGGAGGAGAGCCGGGGTCGAGCTGGACTCGGGGAGCCACCGAGCGGCGGGCCTTGGCTGCCTGCGCGCGCGACGGCGTCGGCTGCGTCAGCTCGCTGCCGAAACAGTGAAGGTGCCTGCGGGAAGAGGATGAGGTCAAATCGCATCGGGGTCACTGAAGATCACACTTTTCTTCAGCCATAAACAATATAGCGTGGTTTCTTTCACGCCACTTTCACGAACGCTTTCCGTCTTGAGAATAGAGAAGGTGAAGAGACATTAAATCATCTGTATAGCGCACTACGGTGTTCAAACACCAACCAATTCGATGTAATCTACCTAACGTACAATCATTCTAGCTATTCCCAGCTCGGCAGCGTTTACTCCCCCAGACCAGACCCACTCTTACTTGAACGAGCTGAGCTGCTTGCCGCGGCGCGCCAGCCACTGCTCCAGGCGCTCCTGGAGAGTCTGTTCGGTAGGCAGACGGGGCCGGCTGGCGGATGGGAGGCCGCGGGCCGGGGTGGCGGAAGGACGGCCACGTGCCGGAGTGGCAGACGGACGGCTCCTCGCTGGAGTAGCGGACGGACGGGGGCGACCTGGAGTCGCCGACGGCTGCTGCTGCGGCGCCGTTCGAGGTACCTCGGTAGGAGCTGAAACGAAATGAGATAAAACATAAGCGTGGTGTTAATGCTCCCAAAAATGTTCCAGCACTGAATTTCTCCCAGAAATTGCCAAACAATGGCACTATAAACAATCGCACATCAACAGCATCATAAAAAAACGGCTGAGAATATTGCGCAAACTCGAGCACCAGGGATATCTATGTAATAACCAGCCCCAAGAAACACCGTCCGGCACATACCTCCACCAATGGCGCGGGCGGTGTCCAGCTCATCCTCCCTTGGTACGGCGGCCACAAAGGCGGCCGGCCGGTGCACCGCCGCAGAGCGGTCTGAGGTCGACCGCGACCGGTGCATGGCGCTCAGCGAGCGGCGCATCGTATTGGGCAGACCGGCCGGCGGCGCCAGCGACCCGCCCACAGACGGCGCTACAGTCGCGCGGCGCTGGACCGGCTTCACAATGCGAGCAGCGCGCGGCGGCGACGTCTTCCGCTGCGCCGGCTGCTTGGGCTTGGCCAGCGCGGCCAGCCGCTGCTTGCTGAGACCCGCTTTGACGGCGGTGACGCGCGGCGCCGACCCGGGCACGGTGCGCGGCGAGCGGCGCGTCGGAGCCGGCGGAGAGCGCCTGGGGACCGCCGGCCGACGGGCGGCGGCGGGCGGCGCGGGGCGGGCGCCGGCGAACGTCTGGCGCCGCGGCCCGGCCGGCACCGGTGGCGGGCGGCGGGCGGCCGGCCGGCCAGCCGGCGGGGCCGCCAGCGTGGTGCGCCGCTCGGCATCGCGCTCCGCCTGCTGCCGGCGAGCCTGGATCAGCGTCAGACGCCGCTGGGCGGCCTTGTTCAGCCGGATACCACCCACCGTCGGCGGCGGGCCCTCGGGGACCGGCGGCCGGGCCGCGGCGGCGCCGGACGGCCGCTGGGCCGACGTCGAGGCGGTTGCAGCGCCGATAGGTCGTTTGCGCGCACCGTCGTCCGAGCTGGGAGCGGCGGCAGTCGGCCGCGGCTGCAGCACGCGGGAGGCCACCGCGCGGGGCCGGGACGGTGCCGAGCCGCGCTGTCGCTCGGCGCCCAGGCCCAGGCAGGCGGCGGCTGCGGCGGCGTCGGCCGAGCCCTGGCGACCGCGCAGGATCCGCTCGGCCAGCTTCTGGCGGCGCGCCGCACGCCATGCCTCCAGCTGCTCGCTGCTGACAGTGGCAGGACGGTTCAGCGTGGCCATCTGGGGAGAGCGACACGCGCACTGAGGGATGACACTGACACTCATTTATGGAGGCTTGTTGCAGTAGCATCATCAAAACGTTAAGCATAAATTTTAAGCTAAATATTATTCTGTTTGCGCTTAAATGAAATAGAAATTCCCTGATTTCATCATCCTTTTAGTTTGTTTGTTTGCTTGTTGGGGTTTAGGGGCGCACCGACTGCGAGGTCATTTTACGCCCATCACCCTGATCATCCTTTTAGAATTCATCTATAAACTTACATTATCTGAACATTTGTTTGAAGATAAAAACTCGTCCTGTAAATAAATTTGTAATTCCCATAGCTGACACTCGTTATTCGTGCATCTGTGCTACCAACCTTCGGCACTGAGGCGGCCCGAGGGACGCTCGTCGGTCGGTCCTGCCCCGACTGACGGGGGGCCATGGGCGGCCGTTTGAGCGGGGCTCGCTGTCTGGGCGGCTGCTGGGCCGCCGCCCCCGCCTCCGACCCCGCCCGCAGGCCGGTGTCTACCCGTGCTGACACGGCGCGGGGCCGCTTGCTGGCCGGAGGGGCAGCTCCTCCGGCGCCGGCGGACGTCTCCGACTCCACCCGGGGTCGCTTCACTGGAGCCATCTGTCGACGGGAGGGACAGATAGAGGTTGGAGTGGGCAGTACTCTTTAGTGCCCTGGCAGTAACATATCATTACCAAAATGATGATATGGTGATGGCGATCTAGTTCACCTGCAGCATTGATAAGTAGGAATCAAGCCTGATTGGAATTTCAATTCCTTTATTAAATATGAATGCTCAAAGCCAGCTTGAGCTTTCAAAAATGCTTCTTCGAGCTTTCAAAAGTGTTTCAACAATCGCAATCCAACCCAGACTACATAATTTGTCCCAACAATCAACAATATTTGTGATTAGGTGGGTAGGTACCTGATTAGGATGATCTTGAACTGGAATTCAAATTCAGCACACATGACTGATGACATGGATCTACATAATGGTTAACCAAATGATGAATTGATAAAGAATTACTAAGGTTTCGGTCCTAATTTGCACTCATTCAAAAAATGGCGTTAAATGATATATACTGATAAAGCTAGTTTGTTGACGACTCGCTGGAAGAAATTCCAGTTCCATCTCAGTCCTCAGATCGAGATATCCTTGGGGATTGGGATATCAATCTCTAAGTCCATAGGCGGCGGAACGGGGGGGGGGGGCACCGGGGCACCGTGCCCCCCCTTGAATTCTGCAAGGGGGGCACCAATAGCAAGGTGCCCCCCCTTAAATTTGATGTATTAGTACCAGGGGCGGATTCGGGAAAACTCCAAGGTGAGGGTCATGAATCGAAGTGGTGCCCCTACCTATGCCCAAAATTAAAACCTCAACGGATTTCGGCCACTTAATTTTGGTGGTGCCCTATTTTCAGTTTTTTTTTCTATTTTCTTTATTTTTGGTTAGTCATGTGATGACTGGTGCCCCTGCTAGGCCGCTGGTGCCCCTGGAAAGACTGTGGTACCTACCTACCCTGCCCCCTGACAAGCCTACGGTGGGCCCTGACATGACTTAGGTGCCCATGGGCCCTGACAGGCCCGTGGTGCCCCTGACAGGCCTGTGGTGTCCTTGCTAGGCCTGTGGTGTCCCTGGGCCTTGGCAGGTTTGTGGTGCCCGTTAGAACGCAGGTGCCCTTGACAGGTTTGTGGTGCCTCTGACAATCCTAAATTGCCAACGACAGGCTTGTGGTACCCTTGACAGGCCCATGGTGCCCTTGCGAGGCCGGTGGTTCCCCTGCGAAGCCGATAGTGCCCCTGGCAGGTCTGTGGTGCCCCTGGAAGACCTGTAGTGCTTTTGCTAGGCCGATGGTTCTCCTGACAGGCCTGTGGTGTCACTGACAGGCCCCTGGTGCCCCTGCTAGGCCTGTGGCATCCCTGGCGGGCCTGTGATGCCCCTGTCGGCTGTCAGGCCTGTGGTGCTCCTGGCAGGCATGTGGTGACCCCAGGCCCTAAGTCATGGCCCATGTGACCTCACCCCTGGGATTCGCCACTGATTAGTACTGCGATGGCTTCTTGGGAATTATACATGTAGGATAAATGGAATTTATCAAACGACAATAAGGAAGAGACAAACACATACATAGGTACTTGAGGATCAGCTTAAAGTTAACCACACATACAGGCAGGGGTGTAATTTCCCTAAAATGATTGTGGGTGCCCAGCTGTAGGGGCGCCCGGCGCCAGGCCGTTTTGGGGCGCGATAGATATTCTTTATGTGGGAGCCTAAATTAACACCGAATTTGATAATATTGCTAGCCGAATGGCGCTTCAAGTGACGTGTCTGACTAAGCAAATACACGCTTAAAAGTGGAAACTGACCGGAAGGACGTAAAAAAGATGTAGAGAGGCGCCATCCAGTATAGGAGGGGCACCAAATGTGGAGGCACCAGACGGTTACAACTTACGAGGGCGCCGTGAGACGATGAAAAGGGCGCCATTCTCTTAGGAGGGCGCCGAGTGATTGAAAACGCTATGTGGTCCAGGGGCGCTAAGAGGCCAGAAGGGCGCCGCACAGTCAGTAAGTAGTGCTACGTTGGTGGGGACGTGGGGGCGCCAGATGGTTACGAGGGCGCCTTGAGATCATGAAAAGGGCGCCATTCTCGTAAAAGGGTGCCGAGTGATTGAAAACGCTATATCGACACCTTTTTTTAACCCCACATCTGCTCTCCCGTGAATTTCCGGGAGGCACGAAAGATCTCCTTTTAAAAGTGTCCAATCGTCCGATCCTGATCAAATATGTGTGCTCGTAGGCCTGTTCTGGTCTTGCTTTATCTGCCAAGACAGACAAACTTGAGAAAAATGGAGTGATTGTACCTTTTTTGAAGGTCTCTAACTAACTTGTCTGAAATTCACCGGAGAACAAATGTGGGGTTAAAAAAAAGGTGTCGATATGTGGTTCAGGGGCGCTGAGAGGCCAGAAGGGCGCCGAACAGTCGAGGGATACACGGTGAACAGAGACCTAAGGACGCGAGATGGTCAGGAGGGCGCCGTTAGACCATGAGAATGGCGCGGTGCTGTCAAAAGTGCGCCATTCTCCCAGAAGGGCGCCGAGTGATTAAAAACGCTATATTATCCATGAACGCGAGACGGTCAGGAGGACGCCGTTAGAGCATGCGAAGGGCACCGTGCTCTCGAAAGGACGCTTGCAGCCTTGTAAAAGACTTGTGAGTGCATTTTCATCATTGTGGGGGCATTATTCAGGATTGTGGGTGCATATGCCCCCACAAAGAGACATAAAATTACACCCCTGCATACGGGGGTTAACTGCCATTTTCGTTTAGTAAAAAAAAAAATCATCGTGTCAGGGCTGTGACGAAAAATAAGTGGCCTAAATCCGATGAGAAAACAGGATTTGGGGGTACCCTAGGTTTGGCTCCTTGAGCCGTGGTGCCCCCCCCTCACCCTTGTCTCAAATCGTTCCGCCGCCTATGTCTCTAACTTGAACTCACCGAAGAAGTTCAAGTTGGTCGATGCTTTCTTCGACTGCAATATCAACCAAGAGTTATGTCTTATAGATACAAAGGCAAATAACGGTTGAATGAAGGCTTTACAACGAATATAAGAAGAATCGAATAACCACCCGAAGCGTTTTCACACTCCGCGCCCCGCGCGTCGTCAACGCGTCGTCTCGTTTTCAAACACGCCGCTCTTTCAAACCGACCGATCAGCTGATCTGCATCAAATAAAATACCAATACATTTACATTATTATTATTGGATAAATTCTTACTTATTTTTTGTACCGTTGAAAGTGATTTTTTTGTGATACGAAGTATTAAAATTAAAACAATAAAACTTCTCACGAACTTTACTAAAGTTGTAAACAAATGACAAGCATTTCAATCCTGGCGCACCGGGCGCGTCAGTATTTGTGCTAATTTTGTTTGTTGTGAAGGCACGGTATCACTATATGCCGTGCTGGGTGCTATTTATTAAAGCATTTTAGGCAATAACAATTAACAGTGGGCTGGATCGGCTGGCTAAGAAGTGAAATATTACCGCAAAGCTGAACAGGTGCCTACTTTCGATACAACACTCTGTGAAAGAGTGTTTTGGAGTGTCTGTTAGTTCACGTTGAAATATTGATATTAGCGTTTAAAGTTTCAAATCAAAATGCCTATTGAAAATATGGAAGAGCAGGGCCTTGAGAAGAACCCAAAGTTGGAAATAGCCCAATGGATTTTCAATTTGACCTTGCCGTCAATGAAGAATGATACCACTTTGAAGAAACAACTAATGGATGCCATACGAGAAGATTGTGAGTGCTTACCTACCTACCTATTCTATTCATCCTAGAGTGCAGATACAGGCTGTACAAGCCTTTAACATCCTCTAAGATCTTAAGATTCTAAGATAAAGAAAAATAATGTAAAAGGAAAGAACATCCCAATCCAGAATCCT